CAGGCGCGCTGCATAAGGCTTTCTTTAATGTTTGGAATGCGGTTTCTTGTTTATCACTCCAACAAAAGGGTACACCTTTCTGTGTTAGAGTGGTTAAAGGTTTGGCGATTTTGGAAAAGTTCTGAATGAATCGTCGATAGTAGCCGGCGAGACCCAAGAATTGACGAATTTCTGTGGGTGTTTTCGGTGCCGACCAATTCTCTATCGCTTTAATCTTGGAAGGATCTACATGAATACCCTCCTCGCTTACCACGTGACCGAGGAAAGTTACCTTCCGTATCCAGAATTCACATTTGGAAAATTTCGCGTATAGCTTTTCGGATCTAAGGTTTCCAACACTAGCCTCAAGTGTTGCTTGTGGTCTTCTTCACTTCGGGAGTAGACGAGAATGTCGTCAATGAACACGATGACGAATTTGTCTAAGAAAGGACGGCACACCCGGTTCATCAGGTCCATGAACACAGCCGGTGCATTGGTTAGACCGAAGGGCATCACTACGAACTCGTAGTGTCCATACCGAGTCCTAAAAGCTGTCTTGGGAACATCATTCTCCTGGACTCGTAACTGATGGTACCCTGATCGAAGGTCTATCTTAGAAAAGTAGCTGGCTCCCTGGAGTTGATCGAAGAGGTCGTCTATTCTTGGAAGAGGATATCGGTTCTTAACGGTTAACTTGTTCAGTTCACGATAATCGATACACATCCGAAAGGATCCATCTTTCTTTTTGACAAACAGAATCGGAGCTCCCCAGGGTGAGGAACTTGGTCTAATGAATCCTTTACTGAGCAACTCATTGAGTTGACTGGATAACTCCTGCATTTCTACTGGAGCTAAGCGATACGGGGATTTTGCTACGGGAGTAGCTCCAGGAATTAGGTCAATACGGAACTCGACCTGTCGTTCGGGAGGAATTCCTGGAAGTTCTTCGGGAAATACATCAGGAAAGTTACAGACTTCGGGGATGCTCGCGAGGTCTCTAACTCCTTGTTTCTCGTTGATCACATGAGCTAAGAATGCAACACACTCCTTTCGAAGGAGCTTTCGAGCTTTGATGCAAGAAATGATATGAAGGTTGGAACTGGGTTTATCGCCATAGATTACGAGAGTTTGATCCGAAGGAAGATTGAGACGGATAGCTTTTTCGTAACAAAGAATGTCAGCATGATTGGGGCTCAACCAATCCATGCCAATGATAACATCAAAGCTCTTAATGGAAACAGGCATGAGATCTATAAGAAATGAGTGATCATTTAAGGTAAGCGTACAGCCTATGAATACATCGTTAGCGCTTTCTTTCTCACCGTTAGCCATCTCGACGGTAAACGTTTCAGTTAGTGGTTGAGGATTTGGTTTTAGATTATGTTTGAATGCATGACTAACAAAACTCCTTTCAGCACCCGAATCGAAAAGAATACTAGCATATGAGTTGTCGAGAAGGAACGTACCCGAAACAACAGTGGGATCAGCAACTGCTTCCTCCGTCCCATGGTTAGAACCCTTCCAGTGTTATCAGTAGTTGACTTCTTGGGACAGTTCCTTTTAAAGTGTCCAACTCTCCACAGTTGTAGCAGGCTTGACTAACACCTGCTCCCGATGATTGGTTGGCTGATTGGGTAGGAGTTCTGCAGTATCGAACTGTGTGCCCTTTCTTACCACAGTTGGTGCAAGACAATTCTCGACAGGGACCAGGATGATGATGGTATTTACACTTGTCACACAGAGGGAGGTTACCAGCATATTTACTGGTAGGAGTTGAGGCTGTGGATCCCATGGCAGAAACAGCGGCAACAGGAGTAGTAGTAGCAGCATGGATGCTACTGTCTGTTGTTTCTTGGATGATCCTTAGAAGATTGACCCTTCTTCTTCTTCCAGAATTTCCTCTTTTCACCACTCCTTTGAGTCGGCTCAGAAGTGGTAGTGATTTCCTTAACATCGTCGCTGTGATCAATCAGAATTTGTGCTAAGGTCTTGGCACTATCATAGGTATCCGGACGAGCAGCCAAAACTTGACTCTTTATTGGTTGAGATAACCCCCAAACGAACCTTTCGATCTTTTTGTTTTCAGGAGTGACTAACCCCGGGCAGAGAAGTGCGAGATCATCAAATCGGGAAGTATATGTAGCAATGTCGGAACCTTTCATCTTCAGGTTCCAGAGCTCATGCTCTAATTTCTGCATTTCACCTCGGGGGCAGTACTCGGCAATGAGAAGTTCTTTCATGGCTTCCCAGCCCATGGCATTGGCTACGGGTAAGGTCAGAGATTTGACTCGGCCATTCCACCAAGTCAAGGCTTTATCCACGAAAGTACAAAGCTGCGAATTTGACTTTATCGGACTCCGCACAAGCACAGATTTCAAAGATGGACTCAATTTTCTCGAACCATCGAGATAAGGAAATGACACCTCCAGCGCCATTAAAAGTTGTTGGTTTCGCATTCATGAAATCCTTGTAGGAACCCCCTCTTTGGTGTCCCTGGCTACCCTCAGGGTTTTGAGATTGAGTACCACCACCTGAACCACTAGGGTTTATTTGTCACATAGCTGCTACCATCGCAGCGGTCATCATCGGCTGGAGCGATGTTAGATCGAACTGGGGAGGAGGTGGCGGCGAGGAAGGATTGTTGTTGTTCTTTGAGCTAGGTCTCTTTCGGGGAGGCATCTTGATCTAATAAGATCAAGGAAAAGAGGATGGTAAGTCCTCTACATTGAATCGATAGATATGACAGTTATATGATTTGAGTAAGCAATAAAGCAGGAAAGAGTTATCGAACGGATAATTTATCGCTAAGATTGATCACAGAAAACCACTTGAATAAGGATTACTACAGAGGATCGGGATCGAGAAATACTCCCATAGTATTTCATGAATTGTTTACGACAATGATTCGATGTTTGGGATATTAGGGTAAGTTTTAGGCATGCCACATACCACAGTCACTCCCAAGCACATGTTGGCCGTGTCTCGAATGAATATAGTTGGCCAGGCTATATTGACCCTAAACACGACTACATAACTACCCAGGTTTAACCGTAGTACACAACACCCATTTACTTATGTTCTGTTCTACTTGTGGTTACGGATGACGACGGTTCGGTATACTTGTATACTTTTGAAAATACTTGTAGTTTGAAGATACTTTTAATTCAGAGCACTTAGGATCTTTAGTGTTTATAGTTTTATACCATGTAAGGTTTGGTATACTTCATTCACTATAAACAAGGGCTCTGATACCAATCTGTCACACCCCGAAAACCGAAGGCGGAAAACATTTTCGGGGTTGACTACCACGTTGAGTATCAAATCCAATGCACATAGTAAGTAAAGTAAAACAACCATTACATTGCATAATAAAAGTTTTACAGTTGTTTCAAAAGTAAAGTTTGTACAGTTGTGATACATAGTATATATAACCAAAATGAAACGGATCTTCGTGTACTCCGTCCTCGAGCAAAAGAATCTTCGGGTACCTGTTCTAACGTCGACCTGAGAACACAAGCCACTACTAGAAAAAAGGCCTTTTACGACGCTCATTGCGCGTCGTAAAACGCTCAGACGACGCGCAAATGCGTGTCAAGGAAGGCCCTGTCATAAAGAGAGACGACGCGCATTTACGACGCGCATTTACGACGCTCGGTTACGACACGCAATGCGTATCAAGGAAGGCCCTGTCATAAAGGAAGACGATACGCATTCGCGTGTCGTAACCTTACGACGCGCGTGTTAATGACACGCAATGCGTATCAAGAAAGCCTCTGTCAAGAAAGGCCATGTCATAAATGAAGATGACACGCATGTTTGCGTATCATAATTTTAAATGTTAAAAAAAAATTATTTTTTATAGATTTACTAATTTTCAAATTAAATTTGCATTTAATGCCTCACAATATATAATAAAATATCATATAAAAAAAATATAATCCATTTCATAAAATTTAATGTCTTACAATTCTATTTCTTACAATATATAAATTTACATGTAAAAACATCTCTAAAGTCTACATGTTTCATGCTTGATTTCCATCTTTTATCGTTTTTAAAAACAAAAGTTCTAACAAGAAACCTTCTTTTAGTAATGCAAGAGATGCTCTTGATAAGCTGATATTCTTAAGTGTAACGGATCCCTCATTACTTGGAGATGGTGGTGAGCTTGAAATCCAAATTAAACCTGATCCAGAGAAAGGGACAAACAACTATCAGTAAGCAATCAAGTTCCAAATTAAAACATTAAGTCACAAAGATATTATAATGGAATCATTGCAAGTTATATATCAGGGTTTAAGAAATACCTTAGAAAGACCATCAGTAAGGGCCTGTTTTGACATAATCACAAAACTATAAGGACTTAACTATTATATAATTTAAAAAAAAAAAAAAAAGAGGGGGAGGGGGTTTACGTATCAAGGCAAAGATCTGCCAAAGAATTGCGTCTTCAATAAAAAAAAGGAAGAAATCAACCAAATGCAACCAAAGATTCAAATTACAAGAAAAAATCATACCTTCTTGGAAAACCATTCATGTTTCCAAAAGAGTTGTTTGGAAATGAAAAACCAGCAACAGGGTCCACAATGTTTAATCCCACAATCTCTATATTCATTGGCTTCCCATCAAGTTCGACATTGTTATACCTTTTGACAGCCGCTAATGCATCTTGCCTTCTTTAATACAATATCATAGCCATCCCGTGAAAGAAAATTTAGTTACAATAGAATCACAAACATGAAACTTTACAAAAGGTACTAAAACCTTGAATTCATGCCCTTGCACACGAGTAAAAGAATATGGAAATAGATTTACACATCTTCAAAGAATCTTTAAGATGTATTGTAATTTATACTAACTTTGCCTTCTACCAAGTACCAAACTTAGAAGTATAAGGATTTCAATTTCACATTTATTAGATCGTCAATAAAGAAGAAACAACCAAATCAGTTTGATTTTTTGAAATATTCTAATTCTGATTTTTTATGGTTAATCCAAACATTGGAGTACGGTATCCAGATCTAGCCAAAGTTAGCTATAAGAGATAAAAAGAAAGTATCAATCACCTTAATATCGTCATTCGAGATACTGTAATCAAGGTTTGATATGTAAAACTTCGTCCCAGTTTCCATCGCAGATGGATGGCCGCCAGGTCCAACTTTACCCATGACATTAGCATAGACGAGATGCACCTTTGTCTTGTCTGAAGGGTTTTCAAGAACAGCTCTAACAACCTAACACAGAATATGAATTACCATCTTATTTTATTTTATTTTAAAAAAAGGACTTCATAAGGTTTAAAATAAATAAATAAACACCTGAAACATCGGAGTGATGCCAGATCCACCAGCTATCATTCCAAAGGCTCTAACCTGACCTGGTTGATACCTAAAACGCCCCTGTAAATGTAATTTAAAATATTTAAAGCTCGAGTCCATTCAACTCCAAATAGAAGAATGTAATTAGTTTGATTACTAAAGGCAAGGATGCAGAAAACTTCTGAATAAAAATCAACTTTCTTAAGCGTTGATACATCAAATCCAGTTATCAAATAATCCAACAGAAACCATAGAGGAGTAGCATTACCTCAGATTTCTCCACCAGTTAGTGATCCACAACTTGAAATTAAACAAAAACAATAATAAGTTTTGTAACAGATCTGGGAAGAATCAGAACAGGTGGATGAAGGACGTAACAAAAAAGACTGGTGCTAACTTCTTTAATGACCTTAATATGAACAAAAAAGCTATTTTATATCTCACCATAATCATCTTAGTATAGTATGAATCTTTAAGAAATACTTAGATCAAAATTTGAGCATTCAGGTTGTTATTTCTTGAATGGAATATACAAGTTGCTATTGTGAGGCAGTTGTAAGCTTCAATTCAGGAGTTAAGTCTTGTGAAGAAGCAAGAGCAACAATGACATTGTTAGCTTGAGAAGCTTTAGCAGATGAAGCAACAGATTCACCAAGACTTCAATAAGAAAAAATGGAAGAAGATGAAGATATTGGGGCGTTTCCAAGCCCAATTAAGCTGACCCGTTTGGTTCCAAGAACCGAAAGAGATCTTTCATGTTTCAGAAAAGAGAGAGATTATCAGATTAGGATAGGAAATTAGTCAAGTTATGAAATTAGGATAGTGTGTAATTGTGTATGCGTATTGTTTAATTTCTTAAACAGATAGACGCACAGAAAATGATAAGCAATTCGTCGAACAGTTTAAGGGCATTAATAGCTCAAAAGAAAGATCAAGTTTAAGAGTGGGACCTCTGGGCTGCAGTTTTCTCTTGAGCATTTCTTCTAATTTTTGTACGATTATCAATACCTTCTTCAGTTGACAAATGCTTCTGAAGAACGCCATCTATAAAGGGTATCCCTAACCACAAATATTTTCTCTTTTGAGCAGCCAACAATGTGCGATTATACACAACTGCATCAATTACAATCGTTCCCGTTCTCAAACTTGAAAAGGGGTGAAAACGTAATTTTAGAGTCGGGACCTCACCACAAGAGAACTCTTCCTTGTGAGGCCCAATCTAGCATGACTCCAATGTAATGCTCAAAGGAGAAACACTTTGAGCCTTACAAAAATGAAGGTCGCATTGGATATAATCGCTTAATGTTGTGCAAACTGAAGGAAAAAGCTTTGATTCTATTAATGTATTTGCTTTAAGTTGACTGTACCATAACAACAAGCACACACCAGATATCATAGCATAGAAAATAGAACACTGGAATAGAAGCAAACCTTCCTCCCAGATTGTGGATAATGACCTAACTATAGCTTTGCTTCTAGTGAAAGGCTCTTTCACGGACTTCACCACAAACCCACTTCTTAATCCCATATTCTTCCATAAAATCTCAACATTTTCCCCGAATGATTGTGAGAACCTAATCCCGTGAGATATCCAGTCGTTTTTCTTGGCACGTGGAATGATATCATACCGAGATTTTCTGGGAAATTTGTTTCCAAGATAACCCAAACAGTTCACGTTTCTTGGCTTTAAGGAAGATTGGAAAGCTGCCCCAACAAATGGGTTTTGAAGTCTACTACTCATTATCTTCACTAAAAACTCATGTCACAGCTTGCAGATCAAGTATTGGGGACTCAGGACTTACTCCTAAAAGGAGAGGTCGTCATTCCAAAAAAACAAATGGAGAAGAAGAGAATAATCTTCTTACCTAATTTAGGGAATAAAAGAATCTTTAGAGATTGAATGTAAGAGAAAGAAATCTAGGGCACATAGATGAAGAAGAAGAGAACAATCTTCGAACCTGATGCCTCCTCCGCTTTTTTTTTTTCTGCATCTTGATGCTTCCGATCGTACCCTAAACCTCAGACTTTCGATCCCAAATCTGACTTGCAACCTTCGATTTCTGATCTTCAACCTGTAATTCGAGACATATAGTTTCAAATCTCAGAAAATTGACCTTGCTACCTCCTATTTTTAATGAAAGAGGAGTCTTAATGAAAGAGATCACATGTTGCAACATTGCAGTTGATGAAATTACTTGTAGTTAATAGGTTGCGCCCAAACTTGAAGCCTGTCAGCTTCATGCTGGCATTACATTAAAAGTAGTTGCTTCCTCTTATCTCTACAAGCTGCATAGTTCTCCATAGGTCCCCAAACAGGGTGACAGTGATCCTTCTAAGATTGTTCATTGTTAATAAAAAATTATAAAACACAACATGATAAATAGCAATATCGGTGTCTTACCATGTCAAGAAAAGATCCCCCATATTCCCCACCCAGTGCTTTTGGATCGTTTTGGAGATAGTGAACAAATGAATTAACAGATTGAGCCTCGATGTGTGCAAAATTTCCATGATCATGTTCAAACCATTCAGGTTCGTAAGCAAACCAGCCTAATGCAGCCCTGCAGTTGGTTTCAGTTTTCCACTTCAGAATTTAAATTAAAATAAAAAATGTTATATTATGAAGAAAGACGAGTTGAATGTAATACCGATAAATCCCATCTTCCAGCAGCTGAATTCCCAATCTAACGTTTTGTAGGATCCCTTCATACTGGCATGTGCAGAATTTAAGTCCAAGTAGCATGACTGTGAAAAACGTACCAGCAGCAGCTGGATGGTGTGAAAATTTCCATGGAAGTTTGGTGGTCCCCTGTAACATCCTGCCAAGAAGCAAGAGTTGTACCAGACTATCATGTCGTATTACCTGTAAAAGCAAAGAGGAAAGATAAGAGAAGAAAAAAGTGAGTAATCTACAGCTACGTAAACATGTTGAAGGTACTTGAAGAAGGTCTGTAAGAACCCTAAAAGCTCTTTCAGATTAGGGTTTTCTTTCTTTTCGTATGTAACCCTAACTGATTTCAAAGGAGCGTTAAAGTGTAATAACCCACCCATATGCATAATCGACATGATCTAACCAAGAAAGATGAAGCAGAGCAATCGTTGAAATAAAAGATGAAGGAAAATAGACCTGGGTAAGAAGGCGAGCCCTTTCTTCCTCGAACAAAAATTTCAAAATAGATGCCTGATTCAAAGGCCGCGCGCTTTCAGCGAGAAATTGGTGGGTTTACGAGAGAGGGAGAGGGAAGAGATTTCTTGAAGGGGAACGAAACTGCGAGAGAGCTCGATCAGATCCTGAGATGTTTAGTGCAAAAATGAACTAGATAACCAGGTTGTAGACCGGTGACTGCAATTATATGTATGTTTGATCAAATCGAGATCTTGGGAAAGGTCAATTACGAGGATCCGAAGAGGAATTTGAGATCTGTAGCCTATGGATGCTAATGCAAACGTGATGATGATGACCAAAAATCTTGAATTCTCTCGCTAAATTCTTAGTTCAATCTGAGCTAGGGCTTGTAAGGCCCTAAATCGCCGGCGCTGTGTGGGATGAGAAGCGGTAAGGTCCTAAATCGTCGGCTCTAGGATATAAGTAGATGGAGCATGTAAGTTCTTCACACTTTCAAGCATAATTGTAACCCAATCGTCGGCTCAAGCATAATTGTAACCCAATCATAGTCACTCAACGCGAAAATATGCGATTTTGGAACGGCGGAACTCCATGGCGAAACCGATAGCAGCTTGTACGCTTTCGGAGTTGTACTTCTTGAGATATTGTCAGGCGAAGAAGGCAAGTGACGAACGAAGGAAGGAGTGTCGATAACTAGGCAAGGCAGCAGTCGAATCTATGGAGGGGGAAGAAAGGATTGTAATTAGGGCAAGAAGGAAACAAAAGTGGAGGCTAAAAAAGAAGGCGGGTGTTCAAAATTTTAGGGATTTCATTTTCCCCCCTATCTACTAAACGAGCTTTTCATTAAAATTATAAAGTGACACTCATAGAGGACGCTCATTTAAGATACAGTGCCCTCCGTGTTTTTAATTTTTTCTCGTATGACGCTAATTTAAGGGCACGCAATAATGCGTGACCTAAATCCTTAATTTTTTTGAAGAGATGACGCTTTTTTAACATCACTCTTTATTGCGTAACATAAATCAATGAGTGTCGTGGTTTGCGCGTCGTAAAAGGCTATTTTTCTTGTAGTGAGCGGTTTGAAAATCAGCATAAAGCTGGTGAGTTCATAAGCGGTTTTGTTTTACGAAAATGTATCGGTTTCCTTTCTGTTTCTGAAATGTTATGTACACCAAGAAAATCCCGTATTTTCTTAAAAGTTGGTTATTGTTTCACAAATGTAAAGTATAGTAAATTTGTACATTGAAAACATGTTTACTCATGTGAAAACGTATCGTTGGTTATCAGACTGGTTAAACTGTTCTGTTTACTTATCATGTGTTACCAGGAAAGTCCCATACTTTCCTTATTGTATGTTACAAATTGTAAAAGATGTAATGTTATCCAGTTTGTTACTCTTTCTAGTTATGTAAGTGTTACCCAGGAAAGCCCCACGCTTTCCTGCATGTATGTATCTAATGTAAATGATGTTAAAGAGGTAAAAGATGTAATCGTGATTAGGTTCCATGTTTTCCCAGGAAAGTCCCGTACCTTCCTGAATGTTGGTTACAGTAAGTAAAAGATGTAAAAGATGTAAACGATGTATAAAGTAATCCATTATTACTGTAAGTAAATCTCTGTTATCCTAATTGCGAGTTCCATAACCATACAATAGACTAAAACATGTGGCAATAAGTAGTCCAAATGTGGCAATAAGTCGTCCACATACTTATGACTTTCGTCACCCTTGAACCATTTCGGTTCGGCTGTAGCTAGCAGCCAGGTGTGGGGTAGTCAGCCCCGTATAGATCTATACACTCAAGTCACGCTCTCTAGATACCAAAGATTCTGGTTATGGGTGTAGTCCTCCACTCGCGTAACCTGGGTGGAGTGTTCTCCGAGGATGTGTCTCCAATTATACAGGAATAACAAATTTACTAGTAATAGTATGATAGTCCTCCACTCGTATATGTGTGGGGAGTGTTACCGAGGACAAAACAGTGTACAGGTATTATATTCAAATGTTTAATGTTATGCTTTTAACTGATAAAATGTGGAAAAACCATTTGTGAAATATATGTAAAATGTACTAGTTTAAAGACTTATTTCACAAATATATGTTACGTGATCTGTATGTTCAATTTATTATCAATTGTAGTAATCAGTTATAAAAGCATAAGAATATGAAACACACATTTGAAAACAAGTTTTGAGTACAAGAATTCCCTTGTACTTTGCTTGTGTTCCCCCCTGAAAACAGTGAAAAATAGTGAAAAATGGTAGGGGTATGAACTCACCGGACTCGGAAACGTGTCGGTTTTGAATGCTATACGTCAGTTCGGGGTTTGATTACTCGCGATGACCCTATGTAAAATGATATGATGTCCATATATATAAAATTAGAGATACATTCACTAATCATAGGGAACATTACACTCCAATGAGGTTAAACACCTCAAAACGAGCGTTTGGAGTAACCCGGGTGACATCTTCGGACTTGTAATGGTACTAGGGACTTGGGACTTGAGTTTACTCTCCATAAGTAAACATTTAAATGAGTTTACAACTATGGAACACACACATACATGATTTTACGGCCGTAAACTTATGTGAGTGTGGTTTTGATGGTTTAAGGGCTCAAATGGGCATATGGGTTGCTAGAATGGATTATCTAAATTGCATTGGAACACTTGGAATGAATTTAAATCATCAAAATGATTGTTTTATGGATTATCTAATTAGAATGGATTATCTAAATTGCATAGGCTCCTGGCCGTAAACTCCTTAATCCTCATGAAAATGGTGTTAAATGTTGTTAAAACAAATCACATGTGATTACTAGGATTATTCCAATACCTTACATGAGTTTTATGGGACATTTGAGGGAGGTTATGGAGTTTACGGCCCATGAGACCCTCCTCATGGCCGTAAAATCTTATGTAGGGTCATACAAAGTGTTTCAAGGTCTAGAACTTGCATAGAAGGGCTTCTAAAATTCATCTAAAGGCTTTAGGGTGTTTACTTTGCATCCTAACACCAAAAGTTTTGGAGTTTACAGCCCAAGAACAAGCCTTGGCCGTAAACTCTTATAAATCCCACAAATGATGTGTTTTAGGCCCTTACAGTATATTTGGTTGGTCCCTTGATTTATTCCAAGGCTTTTGGTGGTGTTGGATGGCTTTCTAACACCTTAGAATTGGATTTATGTCAAGTTTTGGGGATTTTACGGCCCAAGCACTCTCCTTGGCCATAAACTCACATAAGTCCCCCAAATTTCATGTTTCAAGTGTCCAAATGCTTAAACCAAGGTCCTATAATTCTTAACTAAGCCATAGAAGTGATTTGGAAGAGTTTTATGGCATGAAAAACCCCTTTTACATGAGTTTACGGCCTAAGCTTATGCCTTGGCCGTAAACTCCTTCAAATGGCTCAAAATCAAAGTTTCAAATGTTCTAAGTCCATATCTTGAAGTCCCATAGCCATATCTAAAGTCCAAAAGAGTCTAGGAAGGAGTTTAAGGGCGTAAAACCCTTCAAATTGGTGTTTACAGCCTAGGCATGCTCCTGGGCCGTAAATTCACATATGTTGTCCTAAATCATGATTTGAAGTCGAATTTGAAGGCCAAATATGTTATAGATTAAGGCTAGGAAGGTACCTTAGAGATTTGAAGCCCTAAATTTTGAGTTTTGATCCTTTAAACTTGGATTAGGAGAGAGTTGGGTAGTGTTTAGTGGTAATTTGACCAAAGGCTTCAAATGAAGTCTTAAACACGTTTATATAGTGTTTAAGTTTTGGACACGGTGGAATTCTACCCGATACCGGTGTTAGACGAGGCTTTTGGTCGTACCCGATTGAGTTACCGTAACCCGATACGGTAATTTCTAGAAATATTCCGATCACTAAAGTTGGGTGCTAAAATGATTTCTAAATGTATTAAGACACCCATTAAGTCATTTTAAATGTGTACTAAATAATGACTTAATTAAACGGAAGATCGGAAATCGAAATTGGAAACGACGATTGGTTGCGCGAATTGTACTACGAAAGAGTTACAATAAAATGATACGGAAATTTCGGGTTGTTACAATTTGATTGTGTCATTTTGTTTTCCTTGGAGCTCATTCCAACTAAACTTACTCTTCATCCCACAATGAAGTCATAATCCAATTATAAATCTTAATTATGTATACTTGTTTAGAAAATCAGAATCTTAAGTAGTTCTTTACATGATAATTTTATTCTGAACTAATTGTCTTATATAAATTCTCTTAGTTCTTTGAAAGTACTCTTCAAATGTTATTATAGTCATCTGGTGTCTTAACCATGCATTCAATTGATATATTATGATATGCTCATAGCATGATCATATATGCGGTCTTTTGCATAATATGGCATAAATTATGGGTTCATTTTCCAATAACATCGAATATAAATAATTTCAGCTAGTTTAAACCTATGAGCTACATTCTTTTGAGGCTAGCTCAAACTTAGTTCCATGTGACAATTCTATGGTTCCTCCAAAGGAATCTTTTATCTTGATCTCTTTCAATATATTGTTAGTATATGCAAAATGATATAAAACATTTTGACATTCATTTTATCTATGTCTATAGATTTGACTTTCCAAGAATGTATCTTGTTCTTACTAAGTCTTTCATTTTAGAAATACATTCTGAGTAAAAACCTTGGCATAGTCAGAATGTAATTTCTCA